TCCAGCCTCTGACCTCACTATTAAGCTCTGGAAACCACAGCGGGGAGCTGGAGCCTAGGAGGAAGGTCAGAGATGGAGCCAAGGTGTGGGGACATGGAGGGCAGTGAGGGTGCAGAGGATGGATTGCGATAGCTGCAAGTTGAATAATTCCCCTAAGAGGTCAGGCTTGACTCTTCTGATGGACATGCAAAACAAGCCTGCGGCAAATGCTTTTCTCTGCCCACGCAGCCAGAAAGGCAAAGGTGCAGAATCAGTCCTTACTAAAGCTGAGGTGGACTAAGGCTTCTGAAGGCCTGACCGAGAGACGAGCTGCAAACGAGACAAACACTACCAAGGTTGATGAGAGCGGAAGAAAACATAAGAATCAGAGGGAATTATTGAATCATTTGCAGGAGTTTAAGGAATACCTGCTCCACTGTGGTCAATATATACCGTTTGTTTAATAAGCGAATCAGTCATGCCAACATTTAGGGGAGGAAAACTGCACAGGAAAGGCTGTTCTCTTGCTCGTAGGACTCGGCGGCACGCTGCAGCAGCATGGAGGCTGCTCTACAGACTGCTGTTCATGGTGACCAGGAGGCTGGGACAGGTAGCCACACTTTATGGTTTCATTTTGGATTTTTCTGGAAGATTATATAAAAGATATTGCTTGTCTTTTAAAGTGAAGCCATCTTTTATTTATATATTTTTAAAGAGTATGAGCAGATTTGGAAGCTTAAACTCGAAGCTCTGTTTTATTGACAGCTACTCTATTGGTAATCCTGGTAAAGAGATGCAATATATATCTGGAAACAACCCTTTTTCCTTCTGTATCATTATTTATCACTGGAAAAAAGAAACCAGTCTTATACTTGAACAAATTTATTGAGTGTTTAATTATTAATCAAATCCTTGGTAGCACAGTTGTTTGTACAACTATTGTTAATAATATGTAAAGCCCCGTTTTTACAAAGGGAATAGGAATGGATTTTAATTTATAACACCATGCGGCAATAGGAATCTGACCATTTGCCATTTTACTGATCATCCTCCAGACCCAGTTGTTTTCTAATGTTCTCCTCTGTAGGTTTTCTAAGGGATTTGTGCCATGATGTTTTTCCTGGTAGAACATATTCTGCTTTTTATGCAATGTCTTCCAAAAGCAACGGTTTCGAATCTCTAATAGTTGCTGTTGTTACACTAGGAACCCAACGCATCACTCTTTGTGGTATTTTTTAACATCCTTTTTCTGCTCACTACATGTGGTAGGAAGATAAATATGGGTTTCAGCTTTATAACTAGTCTGCCTCTGTCATACAATATTTAAAACCCAGGGAAGCAGGAGGATTTAATGACTAATTAAATGTTCTTAGAAACACTGATCAGTTTAAAATATATACCGGTACCATAAGTAAAATAATATATACATAAAGGGGTGCTTTTGATTTGTTATGTGCCTTTTATGCGGTTGCAATAAAAACAAGTTTATTCTATAATCTTTTACTGATCTTTACTAGGGTGTTGACAAATTTGCCTGCGTCTGTTTACATCTGCGTGGAGCAAATTCCACATTAAAAAGAAATCCCCCTAGATGTATGCCAGAATGCAATCAGGAAACTCAATGAAACCTTCACCGATTGGGCTTTGTTTCCTAATCTATAAAGATCGGCGGAGACGTATGCTCTCAATCGACTTGAGGGCACAAGCGGGGGAAGAAACGTAGCGCAGTGCCGACACCTGTCAGCAAGAAAGCCCCCGAATAGGAATTCACAGCAGTGCTGTCAGATCCACTTGTACTTCCCAGCTCTCCCAGTCTTCCCCTCCATCTCCTCAGGCTCACATGCTTAGCTTTTAATTGGTTATTTGGGCTGGCTGTCAGGCTCTGTTGGTTGGATTGTTGTGAGGCAGTTGCAGTTCCTGAGTCATGTGTGGAGCCCCCACCAGCCCTCTTTTCCTGTCTGTTACACCCTGCCCACCTCACCTCCTCAGACTCAAGCACATATATAAAATATATATGTTTTTGGTGGATTAAATTGAGGTAAATTGGTTTTCTGTGAGCAAAATTCAGATGTGTTCGGTCTTTGTTCTCTTGCTACAGCCCCTTCATGCTCACATCGTGTTATGTTTGCTTGAGGTGCTCATATTGGGCAGAGAATGTGATGAGAATTAATTAAGCATGGCGTTTTATGCTATCAGGCACATACTTGTTTAAAGGAAACCCGACAACCCCTCCCTTTGGGTGTCTGGAGCAGAAATCAGCATCACATAAGAGTGTTATCACTCCCTGAAAGACTAGTTTTGATGCATGAGCTGGGGCTGTTTGATATCCTTTAACCCCTCTGCCTCCTTCAGCTGGTTTTCCCCATCCATGTCCATCTGCCTGGTGGGAGTTTTCCCACAGCATGTATCCCTAAACGAGGGCTGACTGCCGCTGAGTGCAGCAGCGTCATCGGCAGCTGAAGCAGCTTTATGATCTTCAAAGGGAAAGTCTGTCAGCAGCAGTGTTTACAAGCTGAGAGGAAGATGACACACACACAGTCGCATTGAGGAAAACGCCACCGATCACCTCGGCAAGCAGTCAGCGTGTTCCTAAATGCTCCTATAGCTGTTTATGAAAGCATAGGGTTGCCTGTCGAGTCAAATTGGAGGCGATTGCAGCAACGAGACATTAAATCCCTTTGCAATTATCAGCTAATACTCTTAGGAACTATCTCCTGTTTTCTTTGTCGTTCCCAGAGACGTGCAGTCTGTGTTTACATTCTGGGAGGTACATCTCTGGAGTGGCCGCGCTATAATGAGCCAGCTTATGAGTTAGTTATTAATGGAAGTCCTGATTGTCTCTGGACTCCCAGGGAGTTTGTAGAAGGGGTGGCAGCTCACACCAGCGCCTGAGCTAAATGGCTCAGACAGGCTTTAACTCGTTGCTCCCATCGTGTGCATGCATGCGCTTTGAAGCCCACAGTGTCAGAACGGAGGGCCTATTGATCCATGTCTGCTGCTGTACATGCTTTGCTGGGGTGAGCTGCATTCAGCTGCTTGCAGAAGCAATATTTTGAAAGTGGCGCATACGTACACAGGGGAAGGCAGAGATTCCTGAGCAGATGTTTTCCTTGGCACAGTGACTGTCCTATAGCTCTGTTTCTGTACTGCAGATTGAAAACTGCCCTTAATGGCTTTTACAAGCCTTAGCCTACAATTCAATTCAGTTTATTTATATAGCGCCAATTCACAACATGTCGTCTCAGAGCACTTTACAGTTTACCAGATCATACAGTCAAATTGATTCAAGGTTTTCTAAGGAAAACCAGTTGATTTGCTTTGCCTCGAATGCAATCCCTCACACTAAGCATGTTTGTAGTGACAGTGGAGAGGAAAAACTCCCTTTTAACAGGCTCAGTGTGAGCAGCCATCTGCCGAGGCCAACTTGGTTTCAAAGAGACAGAAGCAGAGATGCAAAAAGCAGCTGTAAAAGGCGGCCCCGTCCAGGAAACACACAGCCAGGCAGACAAAGTACTTCACAGGTCTGAGCCAGCTCCCATGTCATGTGAGGATGAAGAGAGCACATCCAGCCAGTCACAGTCAGAGAAACAGGACTACACTGAAAAACAGGCCGATCTCCAACATCTATAATATAAAGGTGTTGATGGCAGCAGCACAGCTGATATTTCTCTCCAGGATGGAGTCACAGCCAAACAGGAACAGACGAGGCAAAGCTGCTATGAGAAAAAGCAGTTAGAACTATTGAACTAACAGATTCTGCAGAGTGGAAGAATAAAGATAGAATGAAGCAGAATTATTAAAAAGGGGTCCCTTTGTCCTCCAGAAGTCTAAGCCTATAGCAGCATAACTATAGAGATAGCTCAGGATAACCTGAGCCATTCTATTTATAAGCTTTATCAAAAAGGAAAGTTTTAAGACTACCCTTAAAAGTAGACCAAGGGCTGCCATAGATTACACAACATGTCACTTACCAGCAGTAGGACAGAATTACCATCATCGAACTAGATTTCTAAAATATTGACTTGCATCAATCACAATTTTCTGATTAAGTTAGCATGTTCTTTGAAAAACAAACTCAAAGCTTAATGTTATAATAGAGCTGTGTGGTATTCTGCTCAGCCTTCCTGTTATCTGTTGACTTTTTTGTTCTCTTTAGCTCCATAATTATACATTTTTACACCTGAAAGACACTGAAAATGGTTCGGCCTTCCTCACTCAGCTACAGCATCCATTGATAACACTAACTTTGGAGTTTTAACTAATCAAAAAAGGATTATTTGCTGGTTCTGACCAGCTGGTCCAGCTCACCAGCCGTGGACTGATTGTGAATTTTTATAGTTGTTAAACTATGTAAAAAGTTGTATTTTGTTCCTCGTTGCTTCTAATGAAATACCAGACACAGTTTTTAATTGCTCGTTTTCCGCTGCAGCTGTGAACAGACTGTTAAATCTCAAAGAGCCACAGGCAGAACTTTGCAGCATGGTGCCTAAAGCGTATGTTCATTTTCCTGAGGCTGTACAGGTAGCGTAAAGGCAAAGTAAAGTAAATCTTCTGCCCGTAGAGAACATCTCTGTAAATGTTATGGCTCTGAGGAATCCTCCACGCTCCACTTGCCAATAAAAGTGCGTTGTACCTTCATTTTTGTTGTTAATTGGCTCCCCGTTAAACCATTTGACAAACTAATGCAGGACAGCATGGGGAGTCATTTAAAAATGGTTTGTGACAAGGTGCTGCTTTAACTCTCATGATGCTGCAATGCAGTCTGATGAGACGTAGTATTTTAAAAGCCTCATAAAGTCTGCAAAGCTGATTATCATTGAGTGCATGTGGAAATCTGCATAATGTTTTCAGAATACCCAGAAGCATCATTGTCCCTTGACTTATTTACATAATTGTCTGATAGTTTTCCGTTGTTATAAGTGAGTAATGCAGTCGATTTTGTTCTCATTTTATTTATCCGGCTGTTATAATCCCAAAGCCATTGACCAGAAATACTTTGTCTTCTGTGTCGCCCCCTACAGAGCGTGGACACGGTGTGCACCCTCTATAATTCCTTCCAGGAAGGCTCAGTAGCCGGTGGAGTGATGGATGACGTGAAGGGAACACAGGGAGGCCAATCAGGCTCAAGTCCCACCAGACCGTGTCCCAAGCACATGAGTGCCACTGAGAGGCTACGCAAGGTCATCCAGGAGCTGGTGGACACGGAGAAGTCTTACGTGAAAGTGAGTCTACAAAGATTGGACAGCTGTAATATTAGAAGTTAAAGTAAGAGAGGGGGATTAATATTTGATCAAATTCCGCTTCACACCTTGGAATGGTTCAGCAACGCGATCCGATGTCACATTTCTTATTGAACACATTTCTTGACAGCAGGCACCGGAGAAATATTCTGTTCACTGCTACAAATTTCTGCTTTTAGGAATTACCGTCATCATCCAATAAAAGTTGCAATCATAAACTCAGAGTTCCTATATAGTCTATTAGTTTTCAATATTTAAATAAATTTTAAGACTTCCTTATACCATGTCTTTTCTGCTGCTTTCTTGATGGTTTCCTTCCTTTTTCCTCTCTGTATTTTCCACTCTGCTTCCCTTTCCACAGCCTCCCTTGCTTCCTGACTTTAATCTTCCTCCTTTTCTTACATCCTAATACTCTTACTTTTGTTTTCCTACCCCTTTGTTCCTTCCTTCCTTTGAGTCTGGAAAAGTATAAAATACTTCCTTAAATATGAAAAATGTACTCTACAGTTGTTGTACATGTATTACCTTTCCTCCTAATTTCCTTGTTTTCTTTATTTGGCCTTTTTCCCTCTTTATCCTACCATGGACTCATAATTGAGGGAGGAGACTGCCTTCCCAGAGTTGCTTGATTTCCGTATGAATCTATGCACTACTGGCTGCGGTGCTGAAGGGAAGGTGGGAGGAGGAGGAGACCCATAAATCAGCCTAATGAGAATATTCTCGCTGATGCTAAGACAAGCTACAGCCATATTAAAGGAGCGGGCGGCAGGGATAGAGGGGAGAAAGAGAGGGAAATGAGGTGATGGTGGAGGTTATAAAGGCAGAAACCTGATGATAGAAGGGATTTTAAAGGATGAGCATGTTAAGCAATAATGCACAGATGACTGACCACCATCTGCTTATTCTCCCCACTTACAGGACCTGGGCTGCTTGTTTGAGATCTACCTCAAACCCCTGCAGAAAGAAAGCTTCCTCACGCAGGACGAGGTAGGCTGCAGATCTTTGTCCTGCATAAAAGGTCAAATTCATTCAGCGTTTATTACCCGTCAGCGAGCTCAACCGGATCATCTCCCGCATTACCACTTTGACTGGTTGCTATAGAAATTAGCATTCCTCAAAACTGACCTTCAAACGTCCCAAAAGATTGCAGTAAGAAAGGAAAGCTCAGGTGTAAACACACTTATCTGCTGTTTGCTGTATGTCATCTGTATTATATGTGGAATTATTTGTGTTAATTAAAAGTCCATTTGATTAGAGTACAGTAAGTAAACCTAAATGAACTCAAAACTACAGATTTCAATTCAGTTTATTTATATAGCGCCAATTCACAACACATATCATCTCAAGGCACTTTACAGTTCACCAGATCATACAGTGAAATTGATTAAAAGTTTTCTATCAAACGAAACCAGTTGATTGCATCGACTAATTGACTCAAAGGCAATCCCTCACACTAAGCATGCTTGTAGCGACAGTGGAGAGGAAAAACTCCCTTTTAACAGGAAGAAACCTCCATCAGAACCAGGCTCAGTGTGAGCGGCCATCTGCTGAGGCTGACTGGGGTTCATGGAGACAGAAGCAGAGATACAAACAGCAACTGTAAAAGGCGGCCCAATCCAGGAAGCACACAGCCAGGCAGACGAGCTCCGAGCCAGCTCCCATGTCAGAGGATGAAGAGAGCCAGTGACAGTCAGAGAAACAGGGCTACACTGAAAAACAGGCCAATTTCGAACATCTATAAACAAAGGTGTTGATGGCAGCAGCACAGCTGATATTTCTCAGACGAGGCAAACATACTATGAGAAAAAGCAGAGAGAGCATAATGTTAGAGATTGAACTAACAGATTAGAGGTAAAGATAGAATGAAGAAGAATGATGAAATAGGGGTCCCTATGTTCTCCAGCATTCTAAGCCTATAGCAGCATAACTATAGAGATAGCTCAGGATAACTTGAGCCACTCTACCTATAAGCTTTATCTAAAAGGAAAGTTTTAATCCTACCCTTAAAAATAGACAGGACTAAAACTGGTAGCACAGGAGAGGAGCCTGACAACTAAAAGATCTGATCTTTCGTTGATGGCCCAATATCTTCTTTAGAAAATAACGTAAGCTTGTATGAGTGATGCAATCAGCAACTTTTAAAAAGAGCGTGCAAGAGGAGACATGGGCTCGTGCACTCTCTTGCACGCCTTTATTAAACGTAGGTGTGCATGGGCATTTTTCTTTTTTTTTTAAGTAGAGAGGGCGATGCTTTTCAAAAATTCGCGAAAATCCTCCACTGTACCTTTAGTAATCATATGAATTTTGTCGAATTCATTAAAATCCAAGGATATACTGTTGCTGTTAAGGAGCTTGCACTTTGAAAAGATTCAATTCAAACAGGAGGCATCACTCCTGAGACATGCAAGTCGATAGTCCTGCTGCGGCCGAGGGCAAATATAACGGCTATTATGAGACACAGGGAAATGTCCCGGCACAGAATGGACAGGGACGTGTTGACCCCTTAATGGCTTTTAATGAACGCTGTTCCTGACCCTGCCTGTATGCTATTTCGCACATTTATATGGCTGGTCCCTAAGAGGCCCTGTCAGAGATGGAGGAGATGCTGTAGCACTGCAGAGGGACTGTTATGGACTATATATATTTGCTCCCATATAACCTTCTTTTCTCCTTCTCTGTTTGATGCATTCCTTTGCACTGTTCCACCATTTCTCTCTTCTCTCCATCTTTAACTGTGTTGTTCTCCCTATCAGATGGAGAGCTTGTTTGGCAGCCTTCCTGAGATGCTGGACTTCCAGAGGGTCTTCCTGCAGACGCTGGAGGAGAGGATTGCTTCTAAGCCGGACTTCAGCACCCTGGAGACTCCCTCACAATTTAAGGTACACACAAACTCACACACATGCAGCAAGGAAGGGTTATATTTATACCTTTATTGATTAAAGATTAGCGTCACTTTCAAACCAGGTAGTCGGAGCTACTTTTCCCATAAAAAGATGCAATATTTGATTTTTGTGGATTTATAAGACAAGCGGTGGGATGAGCTGATTTATAGGCTTAGCATGACAGACTGTGGGGTTTATTGATTGAATGTGCGGTTCAGTGGTTGGACCCAGAAAGGTTAGTTGAGAGGAAGAGTATAGAGGGAGCATCTGAATGGCCTCCCAGGAGAGGGAGGACGGTCATGACTCCACACGTTCACGCTCCTTCATCTTGAATAAAACCTCTTCTCTATCTCTGTGGAAAACTCACCCTCTACCTCTCGGTTTGTTTCCTGGCAGAAGCTGCTGTTTTCTCTTGGGGGCTCGTTCCTCTATTATGCCGACCACTTCAAGCTCTACAGCGGCTTCTGTGCAAACCACATCAAAGTCCAGCAGGTGTTAAAGAGAGGTACGCCATCCCAATAACCACTTTCTTGCTCATGCTTATTAGGATTGAAGTCCCCCTCAGTTCTTTAAATATATAACAAATGTTCTGTGTGAAGAGTGGAGGATATTTTCACAGAGTAAAGGCTTTATATATGGAGGCTGACAACCCACAGACTGCAAGAATGCAAGATGAATGATGGAATAATAGTGGAATGAATAGTGTACACATTTATGGATGATGGACAGATGGATGGATGGGTTTGCATGAATTGAAGGAAAATAATCTAATTTCTACGTTTTCCAACCCACAACTGGAAAATCATTTAAAAAAAAATGTTCAGACTGTGTAGTAACCCTGTAATAGGCACTGCAGAAACACTATCACTGGTTCTTTTATACTAAAGTTGCATAACAGAAGTCTCATCTCACTCTCCCCTCCATTTCTGGCCATTACTGTTAGGAAGCCAGTTAATTATTTAGGAAAGCAAATGTCCCAAAGTGACATGCCTGACATGAAAGTGAGTTAACCGACAGCCTTTCCACTTTTCTTACTCACACATATGTTTATATAACAAGTGCATGTACATTCTAAGTAGGGGTGGTTAAACAAAATCCCATTTGGTGACATATGGGGATTTTCAGCTGCTAAATATAATATCAATCTTTCAGTTCCTAATATCGATTTGAAAAAAGCAACTAAAACAATGAGGTAAAACGGGCTACCTTTGCACCGCCACTCTGGTGGATAGCACCTTTTTCTGTGCGGCATAGCTCATATACAAGTCAGTCCATGTCTTTTACTGTAAGTAGAAGACATGGACTGACCCAAACCCCAAAAAACATGTCTTTTTTTAATCTTTACATTTCAATGTGATTATTGGCTAAAACATCACTATACATATTGATATTACATTACAATATTGTGCTAACATCGTATTATGACCCAAGTACCGTGGCACATATCATATCGAACCCCTAGTTCTAAGATAGATTTTTTAAATGACCTCATTCACTTTGACTGCTGCCTTTCAGCCTCTCGTGTCCATGAAGATGTATTTTAGTCATTTTTGCTCATACTAAGCTGTCTGTCTCTACGTGGGAGCCCTGCCCAGTCAAAACAGGACGATGTAAGATGATTGGCTTCTTTGCCAATATGGCAGAGTGGCGAGGGCCCAGATCTGCCACATTAACATAACTGTTTGGGGTATTCCTGGAGGTAAACAGCAGGAAGGCTATTTAATCGGATTAAAAAGCCTTTGATGGGCCAGAGTTACCTGAGGCAAGAATAAACGCTCTGTTAAAAACGTTAAAGGAAATATATTTAGTTTTTAAAGCTGAATAATTATTCAATATTATAGCTAAAATGTAACCAAACCTTTAAAAAATAAGAAGCATTGCTTATCTATTTATCTGTGATGGTAAAAAACACGTTGAACAACCGAGTCATAACCAGGTGCATTCTTCATCATCCTCCTCTTCACTGCAGGCTCTGAGTTACCTCAGCTTTTGTTTATTCGTTGACTTGTTAATCGCCTGCCAATTACTCCAGGAGGTGCCGATGCAGCCGGCTGTCTGTCGCTGAAAGTCTTCTAATTACTGCTGTAATGCCCCCCCCTCTCTGTAGCAGTTTACCGCAGTGGGAAAATGTCACCGCTTTTAAAGGCCGCTCATTTTGCTGCATACCTCAAATTTTACACCCGTTAACATTGTTGTTGTGATAAAATGAACTTTGCAGCTTTGGCTTGATTATTTCAACAAATCAGATATGCTGATTTTTAGTTTTTTTTTTTTTTTTTACTTTACTTTGGGGGTGGGGGCGCTTCTCCTGTTGGAGAAAAGTAATTCATTCAGCATGAACTCAGACCGGCAGTTCAAGCCGCATTTTATTAAATGGAAATATCACCCAAATTTTAATTAAGTAAGAAAAGTGTTTAATTATTAATTTTCAAATTTTAATGTTCTTTATTTAAGGTTTGGCAATATAGAATTTAATCCCACGATTGAATATTATCCAAATATTCATGTTAAATCAGTTAAAAAGTGGAATATAATCAGGTTTTTCTACACATGTATTACATCATTTCATTCTTTTTGCTCTAAAGCTAATCAAAACTCTAAAATATTGTTTTCTAAAT